CAGTCAGAGTTAGATCCCACCCACCCCCCAAGAAACTATACGGAGCTAATCCTCGGGATTTTCAACCAGAACCCACCCCGAACTTTCGACTGCTAAGAGAGGCAGTTATTAAGTCAATGTTGCCCCGTTTAGTGACCTCTCTCGCCAGTTGGTCAGGGAATCCCCGCAGTTTGTTAAATTAGTAACCCGGTGGTTAAGTGAAACTGGCTTCCCACGTTGACGGGAAGGTCACCAAAGGGGGATCACGGGACCCCGGGACACTGCGACCGTCGTAAATAGGGGTCAGTTGCCAAGCGTCTGAATTTTGATATCGCGTGGCCCTGGAGATGCTACAGCGGTCGCAGGTGTGAAAAACCGTTGAAGTCACTTTTTTCAATCCAGTTTTAACTTCAGACGGTCACTAAACGAACGGCCGTGTGTCAAAGGCTAAATGTGCCATTTTTTGGGGGGGGGGATAGCTCAGAGAAACGAAGCTGCCGTTCGCCTGCCACAAATTCCTCTCAGTAAAGTCCTGCACAGGGGCGGATTAAAGATTTACAGAGAGGGGAAAGGAAAGAGAACTAAACCTAGCCACCCATTTTTAAAATTTACGGGGCTGAGAGGCCGGCTGAAGGGAACATGGGGAGTAAAATTTGGAGGGTGAGGCGGGGAGAGACCAAATAATCTGGGTTAGGCCAGGCTGCTCTTTGCTCTCCCTTTCAAAAGGGAAGGGAGATGGTGTAAATCTGCCACAATTAACTCCTTCAGCTCAACCAGGCAGATCGTGTCAGACTGATTGATTACAGGAACACCCAACCACCTTTTTTTTTTTTTTTTTGTGGCTACCCATAATTTCAGAATGATTGAATTTAGGATTATGTTCCAGGGTCACCAAAACTTTAGCCCTGTTTCTGATGGAAGCAGAGGTTGAAATGTGGCAGGCAGGCAGAAGCTTGCCTGAAAGATGATCAGATACACTACTATAAGAGGGTAACTTTTGCCAGCTTCCATCTTTCGTCATCTCCATGTATCGGTTGAACTGCTCCATCATTTCCTGGCTCCAGCTAGGATTGGGGACAGCACGATCTTTACTTTTCTCTATTGCGTATAGCCAAGCCTGGAAACAGAAAGTGGACATTAGAACATGGAACAATAAGGTGGGGACCTTGGAGGTCTTCTAGTCCAACCCCCAACATGGCTTGTTAGTCAACTAACCGCAGAGGGGAAAACAGTGGCCCGGGGAACTTACACCTAACCACTTAAAACAGGCCTCAAAGTTCTGAAGCTCACCTGGCTCTGATCATTTGGAAAAGAGGTATCGGTTTGTGTCACCCACCAAACATGGCTTAGAACAGGGGTGGGCCACTCTGGCCCCTTAACGACCTGTGGACTTCAACTCCCAGAATTCCCGAGCCAGCCCGGAATTCTGGCTCAGGAACTCTGGGAGTTGAAGTCCACAGGTCATTAAGGGGCCGGAGTGGCCCACCCCTGGTTTAGAAGCTATGAAAGCCAGCCTGAGGCGTTACGCTAGAGCCAGTGGAAACAAGCCATGATGCAGATGAGCAGTAAAGTGTGCCACAAGCGACAGCGTTTATCATGCACCACAAATCAAAGTTATTACCCGAAACTAAAAAAAAAAAGAAAAAAAAAAGAGCAAATGTTTTCCGGGTTGGTTAAGAAAAAGATGGATGGACGGAATGCCAATTCTTTTGATACTTACTCCTGAATCTCCCTGTACCTTGTGGGAGAAATGGTGGAGGACCCCCATGGGGGAAACTGTGTCCTGCGTCCCATTTCTAAGGGTCACGGAGCAAGGGAGACCCCTCCACAGCCTGGCCCAGTTTCGCAGCATGGCTTGTGCGATCCACTCCTTGGCAGCAAAATTCAGCGCTTCCTCCGCAGGGAACCACAACGCCACAGAGGAAAATGTCAGCGCTACTTCTGTCAAAAGAATGTGGGTAACAGTTTGAGCACAACTATCCCGGGATCCAGCTTTAATCTGGTTGCTAGAAGGAGACCTGTCTCCCCTCTCAACTTCACTGCCTCCCCCCACCCCGCTTCTGGGTTGTCACGGACTCCACCTGCCATCTTCCCCAGCCCATAGGCCAGATGCAGTGTTTGTGAGCTGATGGGGAACTGTAAGCTCATCTATCTGGGCCACAGCAGTGTTTTGGGGAGGGGAGGCCTGTCCTAAGCCAAAATGGCAGAGGGTATTTGGTGAAGGTCGAGCAGCCTCCTCAGCAATTGAGCAAGCAGCAGTGCTGGGAGGGCATAACTATTGCCAGCTGGGTTTGACCTTCAGCACTTTTCCGGTGTCCCCTTGTTATATTTATATTGATTTACATTTGGTAGACCGGGTGCTCCACCCAACAGAAAAGATTAGATAGATAGATTAGATAGATAGATAGAGATTAGATATACACACACACACTAATAATAACATTAAAAATACGATCCCTGCAACCTTTTGAAGGGCCGACGTCTAGATTTTATTATTGCATATACACAGTTTCCTGATTTCCTATACATACTCTCTCTCTCTCTCTCTCTCTGTGTGTGTGTGTGTGTATGTGTGTACACACATACATACAATTTCAGGTTGGCAAATACACACAAAAATATACACACATATACACACAAAAATATATACACATATACACAGACATATACATACATATATACACACACACACATATATAATTTGAGGTTGGCAAATATACACAAACACACACACACATATATACACACACACATTCGAATTTCTTTTTTGTTGAGTTAAAGAGTTGAATGGGAGGCTAGAATAACTATTTCAAGCTTTAACTGTAATATAGCAATTAAAAAAAACCAAGGTGCATCAACCAGAGTGGTCTGTCCGCAAACAAATTACCACACACACACACACACATATATATATATATATTGGTATACCTATCTATATATCTATCTAATTACAAACACAATATATATGCCCTATACATCATTGTATACATTCCGTATCTATATTTAATTTATATACATATATATATATATATATATATATATATATATATATATATATATATATATATATAATTAATTCTTTGTTAGCAATCCAAATTTTGAAAAACGTATACATATATATATGTATATATGTATACATTGCTTAAAATTCTAAAAACTGAAAGTTGACTCCTGGGTAAATTCATTTCGGGAACCACAAACTGTGAGACCACCAGGAGGTTGTTAAAACCATTAAAAAGGTTTTAATAAAATTTAAAAACAATTGGGTTGGGCCCAATTACGAGGTCTAGGAGTCGGGTGCAAAAGGCACCACTCCTATAAGTAGCCATCCCACCGACTGTTAAACCACCCTGATGATGCTGGCAGGCAGCCGGCGAAAGCTAGGTGTTTTTAAATTTTATTAAAGCTTTTTAATGGTTTTAACAACCTCCTGGTGGTCTCACAGTTTGTGGTTCCCGAAATATATGTATACGTATATATATATATATGCATACATAGCTGCAAATACTCTCCCATTATGACTGTTGCATCTTTTCTACTCGTGCCCGGTTAAATGCAACCAGAATTTCCTTTTTTTTTAAAGGCAGCCCATAGCATCCCGGGGATCCCTGCCTCATTCAAGGGTCGGGCCCGTTTATCAGCGACCGAAGGCAGCAAAATAAGGATTATTTAAATGAGCCCCTCAGTTGGGAAGGCCGACCTCGCAGGGCCGTCGTTCCTCGCGGCGTGACCTTTGAACTCCGACCCCCCCTCAGCCACCCCGCGCGCGACTCACCTCCGTCGCCCTCGCCTCCCGAGAGCAGAATGAGCAGGAGGCGGCGGCGGCGCCGGCTCCTGACGTCACGCGAGGGGCGTGGCCACGCGGCGTTCTCGCGCCGAAGAAAACTTGACCGTGTCTCGTTTGCCCCCCCCGTGTCAGTTTTGAAATCGCCCGCTCCCGCCCAGGCCTTCTTTGGCTCCGAGGGACTGTCAGTCAAGGCGGCCTATCCAATCAGGCGCTGCCCCGCCTCCTCAGTTCCTCCTCCCTTGGCCTTAGAAGTGCCAGTCCGGCCCAACAACGCGCCACTCCAATGACATCTCAGCTCACAAGCGCCGCTCCCCTCCCATTGGACAACCTGAGCGCCAATCTAGCGTGGCGTGACGAGCCACGCTCCAACGTTGCTCATCAAACCTTCATGCCTGACTCATCCGGGCACTTACGTATCCAAGCGGCTTCTCTGATTGGCTCAGGGGAGTGTCAATCGCCGCCTGGGTGGGCCCATCCCCATCCCTTTGCAGAGCAAAAAAAAAAAATGCTTCTTGCTCAGGCTGGAGCCCTTTGCACACGCTCAGAGGCCCCAAACCCTCATTAGCTCAAATACTGGAGACAAAAACAGAGCACAGGGTTGGCTTCCTAAGCCATTTATTTATCCCCATGGAAAATAAAAGATACTTATTTTGAAAGTTTCTCCATTAAAAATAAATCAAATCATTATATAAAATTATTATGATTATAAATCAAATCTCGCCATCAAAATGATTCTGATCCAGGCACCTTTCCCAAAATTATTTTGCAGAGTAGGGAGCTTCCGTTTTCTCCCGCTCATCCATGTTTGAAACTACCTAGCATGAGACACACAATCAGGGTTTGATGCCAGAGCATTGTTACAATACTGGTTACCTTTTTTTTTTTTTTTTTTCCCTTTTAAAATTTTATTATTTTCAAATATAACAAAATATAAACATAAACTTGATGCATATGAATACAGGATATCAGTACGCAAAAGAAAAGATACTTTACGGATAGTCCCGGCTGCCCCCTCTCTGCTTCCCCCTCTTTCACCTACCACCTTCCTCCCACTAACACTCAACCACTCCACCTTCCTCCCCACCCCCTACTTCCCAACCTCTTTCTCAAGCAAATACTGGTTACCTTTGAACGGCCACTAAGCAACCCGTCCTAAATTGAGGAGTTTCGCCTGTACAGTTATTGGAGTTTTATTCCCAGTTAACAATAAAAGAACAGGCACACCAACACACACACAAAAAAAAGAGATATTTATTTCTGAGCCTAGGACACAGCGTAAGGGCAAACGGAAGCGTATTTTTTGGGCGCAAACAAGGTGGTCCGTGTGCGTTTTTCACGATTTTGATTCGGGGTTAGTTTCTCCTGTACGTGGTCAGCTCGGGTGGTCAGGCCTGGGACAACGTGTGCCACTCTGAAGCGGAAGGAGCTGGCTTTGGATGGGGAAGCGGGCAGGCGAGGCGGGCACCGTTGAAGCTCTCCGTGGGCCAAAACGCGCCGTCAGTGCTTGGGAAGAGCCAGCTGGGTCTGCCCCATTCAGAACCTCTTCCCCGTCGGCTTCATTTTCTTGACGTAATACTCGTTGCAGCCGTTGGTCAAGCCGGCAAAGAGGGACAGGAAGCCCTCGAAGCCGATTTTGCCGTCCCGGCATTCCTCCAGGTTCTTCATGATCCGGTCGATGGCCATGGGGTCCTTCTGATTCTAGAGATGGGTTTGAAACAAGGGAGGAGGGAGGAGGGAGGAGGAGATGGTCACGATGGAGAAGGAGGAGATGAGGAGACAGAGGATGGGGAGATGACCGTGATGGAGGATGAGAGGATTATGATGGGGAAGTAGGAGGAGAAAATGAGGAAGTTGGGGAGATGGTCATGATGAAGGAGATAAGGAGATGGGAGATGATTGTGATGGAGAAGAAGAGGAGGAGGTTGAAGAGATGGTCATGATTTAGAAGGAGATGAGAAGATGGAGGATGAGGTGATGATGTGATGGAGAAAGAGGATGGGATGATTATGATGGAGGAGGAAGAGGAGAAGATGAGGTTGAGATGGTCATGAGAAGATGAGATGATCGTGATAGAGAAGGAGGATGGGATGATTATGATGGAGAAAGAGAAGATGAGGAGGTTGAAGAGATGGTCATGGTGGAGAAGGAGAAGAGGAGAGGACGATCACGACAGGAGATGAGGAGAAGATGTGAGGATCATGACGGAGAAGGTGGAGGAGGAGACGTTGAGATGATTGCGATGGAGAAAGAGACAACGATCATGATGGAGATTATGACAAGATGCGATGAACACGATGGAGAACACAATGAAAAGGAAGATGAAACCAATGACCAAGACAGAGGAAGAAGATAAGGAGATGATTACAGTGGAGAAGACGAGGAAGAGGAGGACAAAGAGATTATCGTTGACGACGGTGGAGAAGACAACAAGGAGAGGGTTACAACAGAGGAGGAGGAGGAAAAGGAGGAGGAGAAAGGTTGTCTTAAAGGGGGGGGTTTCCTTTCACAGGGGGCAACTCCTTCCCCAGAGAGGGGTCTTTGGAGGACACCACCCCCCACATCCCTTCTCCTCACTCACCTCCATGTACCCGGGGACCTCTTTTTCCATCAGCAGCCGCAGGTCCTCTTTGGCTAAGTAGTTCTTGTCGCCGGCAAATTTGTGGAAGGTGAGCATGACCGTCTCCATGGCGTGCTCCAGCTGGGAGGGCATCTTGGCGGGGGTCTCAGGGGAAAAACCGAATCTAAGGAAGGGAGGGGGGGTGAAAAAAGAGAAGGCTGGTGGGTCATTTCTCCCCCTTCTGGATCTTGTCTGGAACGCAAGGCCCTCCGTGGGCCACAGCTCTGAGTGTTTGCAACTCCCAGGAGCCCTAACCGAACCCTGAGGGGTAGTCCTCGACTTTACGACGGTTCATTTAGCGTCCGAAGTTATGCCGGCGCTGAAAAAAGTCACCGAAGACCAGTTTTCACACGTAACAGCCGTCACAGCCTCCCCGTGGTCCCGTGATCAAAATTCATGAGGCTTGGCCACCGACTCGTATTTACAACGGTCGCAATCCCCCTTTGCGACCTTCCGACAAAGCCAATGTGGGAAGCCAGATTCACTTAACAACCGGGTTCCTGAGTTAACAAACTGCACCGTGGTCCATGGGGCCGAATCCACTTAACCAATGTCTCGCTTAGCAACGTAAATTTTGGTCGTAAGCCGAGGACGTCCGCAGGAGGGATCCCTCCATCCTTAGATTTGTTCGAGAAGCGCTCAAGGGGGTCACCGGAGGTTTTCGAGAAGAGAGTAGAAAGTCATCTGTCTGAAATGGCGTACCTTCTCTGGCTTGAGCAGGGGGCTGGACTAGAGGACCTCCGAGGTCCCTTCCAGCTCTATTCTGAATTGAATCCACCCTTTTCCAAGCTGGCGAGGCCCTTCCAGACAGGAGAAAGTCCAACTTTTATGCTGCACAAATCTCCTTCTGACTCTGCCCCTCTTGATAAAGGCCATCTGCCGCAGCCCACACACACACATGCACACACACACACACCCCACAACCAGATGACTAATTGCAGACACACGTCGTCTCTCATCCCTCCGGGAGGCTGATCCAGGCATGAGCAGAGTACAAGCCTTGGTTGGGAATTACCTCAGCCGCTCTTTCTCCCAGTGACTCACTGCTTGCTAGTAACACAACCAAGAATTTAGGGTTGGCCTTTCTGGTTGGAAGTTGGCTTTGAAAGGGCGAGGAGGGAGGTGCCCCCCCTTGGTTGCTGCAATGAGTAAGCAAAGCTTTAGTAACTTGGGCACGGTGCCTCTGCTGCAATCCCAGCAGTTATTGTCTTGCCAGCCCTTGGGTGTGTCCCCAACTCCGTTAGTATTTTTCAGCCCTCGGAGCTGCTCTTTTATTGAATGAACTCAAGCCTTTTGCACCAAAGGGAGGGAGAAGTGCGGTAAAAAATAAAATAAAAATAACATTATATATCTCACAAAGCACCCGTTCCTCACCATGGAGATTAAAAAAGCAGAAGGAGGCTGTTTTGCTTTTATTATTATTATTATTATTATTATTATTATTATTATTATTATTATTATTATTATTATTATTATTATTATTATTATTTTTAGTTCCCCTCTGGTACATTTCTCACTGCTGAACGCGGCCGGCCCTAAAGCCCCAAGCCTTGCTCCTCTCTTAGGGACTAGCCACTTGGTTATTTTAAATCTCTCCTTGTACATCAGCTTCAGGACCATCCTTCCCCTGTTTTGGGAGATCCCTCTGGCTAACAATCTTTGATTAAATGAGGCCCGTACTAAGGCACTAAAATCTTAATCTTGACACCTGAGAAAACCAACATTTCATGGGGGAAAAAATAAGCTAGATATTGGTAGATATTTAAATAAGCTAGATCTTGGTAGATATTAGGCTAGATCTTGGTAGATATTTAAATATAAGCTAGATCTTGGTAGATATTTATATAAGCTAGATATTGGTAGATATTTAAATATAAGCTAGATATTGGTAGATATTTAAATATAAGCTAGATATTGGTAGATATTTAAATAAGCTAGATATTGGTAGATATTTAAATATAAGATATTGGTAGATATTTAAATATAAGCTAGATATTGATAGATATTTAAATATAAGATATTGGTAGATATTTAAATATAAGCTAGATATTGATAGATATTTAAATATAAGCTAGATATTGGTAGATATTTAAATATAAGCTAGATATTGATAGATATTTAAATATAAGCTAGATATTGGTAGATATTTAAATATAAGCTAGATATTGATAGATATTTAAATATAAGCTAGATATTGATAGATATTTAAATATAAGCTAGATATTGGTAGATATTTAAATATAAGCTAGATATTGATAGATATTTAAATATAAGCTAGATATTGGTAGATATTTAAATATAAGCTAGATATTGGTAGATATTTAAATATAAGCTAGATAATGTTGATAGATATTTAAAGAAGCTAGATATTGGTAGATACTTAAATAAGCTAAATATTGGTAGATATTTAAATCTGGGGAGGGAGCATTCATGCAATACGTGTGTGTACACCCCCCCCCCCAATTTAAATTTGCCTCTGGACTACGCAACCAGTTACATCCCAAAAGCCTAACATCCAGACTCTCCTGTTTGTTATAATTGATATTTTCACCCCCCCCCCCCGTTTTTATATCCTAGCGAATACATCTATGCCCTTTTTTTTGCAAAGCACAGCCAATCACTCTGCCTTGGGTGGTAGAGAGCTCTTAAAAAGGTACCGAGAATTAAAATTAGGCCTTGGAACTTTGCAAGGGGAGAGAAAGAGAGAGAGAAGGGAAGAGGCTCATGGTTTACATCTCTTGGGCAAGCGAATTCGGTGGTTTCTCCACCTCCTTCATGACATCCACCCGATGGGATTGTAATGGAGTCTCTTTTGGCCAACAGTGACGTTTTTTCCGAGCTTCAGAGGGCTGGGCGTGGCGGTTTCCTACCCAGAAACTCAGAAGTCTGCCTTGCCAGACATGCATTCTAGCCAAGCCCTGGAGACAGAGCGGGCAGTATTTCTAAACAGCCAGCCTTCAAGCCTCTCCAAGGACATCTTGTGAAGCCCAAGCATTTGGGAGGGGGAAAAGAGACAGAGGAGACAGAGAAAGAGCTAGGAGAAAGAGAAGAGAAGAGAGAGAGAGAGAGAGAGAAGAGCTAAGTGAGAGAAAGAAAGAAGAGAGAAAGAGAAGAAAGAAGAGTGAAGAGAGGGAGAGAAAGAGAGAAAGAAGAGTGAAGAGAGGGAGAGAAAGAGAGAAACACAGAGAAAGAAAGAAACAGCAAGAGAGAAAGAAATGAGGGAGGGAAGGAAGGAAGGAAGGAAAGAAAAAGAAAAATAGAAACAGGGAAGGAAGGAAGAAAAATAATAGAGATGGAGAAAAAGGATAGACAGATAGGCAGACAACCTTTATTGACATTTTTTACCTTGGGCACATTAGCACACATTAAAAATGAAATTTTGTTGCTTGCTCTGAAAAGTGATAGATAGATAGATAGATAGATAGATAGATAGATAGATAGATAGATAGATAGATAGATAGATAGATAGATAGATAGATAGATAGATGGATCTTGCAAGCCAAGATTCCTATTTATGTTTATTTACAAACTACAGGCATGCCCTATTTTTGCAAAAATAACGTGCTGGGACGTCAGGATTCTCACAAACTGGATGGAGAGAAAGCAACTTTCCCTCTTCTGAGCCTTCCCAGAAACTGGGAAGGTAGACTGCTCCCAAAGCTGGGGGCTTTATTAATGCAGCTAATCATTTTGCGGGTCTGTGAGCCTCCAGAGGATCAATTGGCTGAATAGGGGCAGTCATGCAAACATCGAAGGCAACATTATAAATAAATAAATAGATCTGGGGCTGGGCGGTCTGTCCGAGCAGCTGAATTCAGCAGCTAAACCCGGGGTTTCCCCCCCCCAATGAATTATCTCAAACCAGCGGCCTGCAAAACTGCTGCTGATTATTATCTTTGGGTTGAATGGGGTGTTATTGATCCTAAAAGACTCCAGGATTGTTTGTCAGAGACCAGGCGCCAAGATCTCTGCCTCGCCGAAGAAATATTCCTAGCTTTTCGACATTTTCCAGCTGAAGGTCATGCATACCAACCAAGCATGCATAATATTCAGCTAAATATTCTCTTTTATTGGCACCCACTGAGTCTTGTTGGTTTTTAGGGACTGTCCCATTTTCAAAGACCAGTTGGTGAGGTTTGGTGCCCCTGCTGATTTCTGTCCCAGGTAGATTCCACCCTGAATCGGCCTTGGAAGGCACCTTAGAGGTCACCCAGTCTAACCCCGGCATGGGGCGAATTCTAGAAAAGTGTCAAAACTTAATCCAGCAATTTGTTTTTGGCATGGCTGCAGAAAGGAGGGTATAGTATAAATGAAATTTAATGTTTCTGTTTTCTACTTGTAGTCTAGGGTGAGGGGTTCCCAAACAATATTAAGCCTATGGTGGGATTTTCAGCTGGTTGGGGGGAACTCATGGCCACCAGATGCTGCCCTAAGCCATGAGCTCAAATGGCTTCTGAAAGAGCACAGAGTGGAAATAAAATTCCTGGACCACCTCTGCCCAAGTTGGACAGTTCAGGGGTGTCTCCGTGAACAGGTGCAGTCTACCTTACAGCCCTCAATTGGGGAAGCCAGCTGCAAGGCGAACAGGGAAAGTAGCAGCTTGATCTAGCAAGGCGTGGCAACCTAAGGTGGAACCTCCATACCTAGAGGCAGTCTACCTTGAGGAATCCCCAAGGAAAACTCTAGGCTGGCTCGGAGAAGCCGTTTCAGCTCGCTTTTAAGTCTGGAATTTGGGTGGAACCTCCGTACAGTGTGACAGTCTACCCCTAAGAAACCCCAAGTAAAACTGGAGCCTGGATCCAGCAAGGCGTGGCAAGATGGAGCTTCCACGCACAGCAGCAGTCTACCTCTTGAGAACCTCCAAGGAAAGCAGGAGCCCGGATCTAAGCCAGGCGTGGCAACCCCAGATGGAACCTCCACGCCCAGAGGCAGTCTACCTCTGCAGAAGCCCCAAGGAAAACTGCAGGCTGGCTCCCAGAAGCAGTTTCAGCTGGCTTTTAAGTCTGGGGCCTCTCAGCCCCCCCCCAGAGCCAAAAAAACCACCCTTGCCAAAGAAAATGCGACACAGAGTCACTTTCTGAGGTCTTCCAAGCCCCACCCAACCCGTTTTTCTAAAATGGGGAGGGGGGGACAGGGCTGGGTCATCCCAGATGGAGGGAGCCTCTCAGCTGACTGATCTGGCCTTGAGCCATTTTATGTGGGTCATAGGAAAGTCTGAAGAGAGAAACACCCTGGCGTTCACACCGTTCGATCTGGTTTCGCCCATCTGTTGGCTGCAATTCACCTGCTGTTTCCTGCTCTTTCCCCCCCCACCCAAAAGCTTTCAACTTGACAGTTTTACCAGCCACCTCTGGGTGAGCCCCCCCTTCCCCTTCCCCTTCCCCTTCCTTCCATCAGATCACAGCAAGAACTTCAAAATCAGCCTATACCCACCCCGAAACTCAGGCCATCCTCCAATTCCCCAAACCTTGCTATTAACAACTTTGGAAAACTGGGCAAGCGGATTAAAAATAAAAATAAAAAAAATCCAGAAGCTAAAATTGTTGCAGCAGGGAAGGTCCCAAGGAAGATGTTTTGGGAAGAAAAAAAAGCAGCGTTTTCAGCCCCAAAATACCTTCCCCCACCCACCACCACCACGCCACACCCAAATTCAACCAGCAAAAAAAAAAAAAAAGAGGAAGAGGAATTTAAGTCCCTTGCAACGTAAAACGTTGGGGTAGGGAGGGGCCCAATGCAGAGGAGAAATTCATAATTGAACTTCATCATTGGAGCCTCAAAAGCGCAGTTGGGGTGGGTGGGTAGGGGTTCACCTCGGTGAAAACCTGGCGCTTCTGTTCCCCTTAGGAACACTGCGGACTAGCATCTTGTCTATTGCACACCTCCTCTGCAACTCAGGGAGAGCTCCCCCTGGAACCGATCCCGGGGAGGCCGAAAAAGTTAAAACTTAAGAGGCGATGTCCAAATCCTGTTCTTAAGGGCCTTTCTACAAACAGACGCCTCTGCAGGATTTCGCCTCCGGCAGTTGGCCAATGTATTGGGGGGGGGGGAGGCGCGCGAGAGCACTGCCGCTTGCCCAACACAGGGTGGCATTCATCCCCCCTCCCGTCCCCCCAAAGAAAAACGCCTTTCAAAAACACCCCACCCCACTCCAAATCCGTTGGCAGCGTTGGGCACAAGGCGGACCCCCCCCTCATCGGGAGGGTGTTTCATCAGGACAGCCGGGCACACATGTACGCAGTGCCCCCCCCGCCGAGGGCCACACCTTGAGCCAGAAATGCGGCTTTTCCGAGCCCCAGCGCCCAGCCCTGCGCCGGTTCCCCACTTCTCCCCAAGTTCCTGCAAAAAGACGCAGAGATGGGGTCCCCCACCCCTCTCTATCCATGCCTCCTCCCCCTCCCCTCCCCAGACACTACCCCCCCAGACACACTCTGTGTTTCAGGACCCAGAAGGCACAGCCGATTCTTTTTGGGGGGCTCCCCGGGACAGCAGCGCGCCCTGCTTTTACGCGCGCCGCGCTTTTACGCGCGCCCCGTTACGCGCGGCGCAGCGGAGAGACTCACCCGGTGAGCGAGCTGCCTGGAGCAACGGCTGGCAGAGGCAGAGTGAGGCTGGCCGGCCACCGCCTCCGCAACTCTCGCTGGGCTGGGCTGGGCTAGGCTGGGCTGGGCCGGGCCGGGGGCGGAGAAGCCGGACTCACATCTGCAGACGCTCGCGCGAGAAACCAACCTCTTGGAGACGCGCCAAAACTCTGTCTAACTGGGCGTCGGACCCTTAAAAGAGAGGTTCTTTCCTGGCCGGTCTCCGCGGGGACGGGGGCATGGCCTTGGGTTGGCTTCCGAGTCTAAGTTACAAATTAAAATGTAATTAAAATGAATTTACATTTTGTAAAAAAAGTCTCCTCTTGGTTTCCCATCCAAACGCTGACCTTGCTCCAATGGGAATATCATGGTTTATCTTGCTTTGCTACCAGAAGCTGAACTGGGCCCCAGACTCAACCCCCATTTAAACCAATGTTTCATACGGGTATAAATAACTTGAAAATAAAATGAAGGGAACTGGCATAAAGGGGAAAAAGAGGATTCTTCTCTTTCCCCCATCAAGAGGTTACAACTGTTCTGCATTCTTTGTTTTCTTTTCCCTAACTTTTCCTGCCCTGCCCACCTGTTTGTCCTCCTCTGCATTCCTGAATTCCATCCTCCAAATACAAACTCACGTGTTATTCTTGGCTGGCGGCTCCCTCTGTATTGTTGCCTGCACACACCCTGCTCAGACATTTAGAGGAAGGGGGGAGAGGCATTTTTTGAAGGGTGCGGGGTCAGGAAAAAACAGCTGGCCTTCAGAAGTTGTGGGTCACTGGAGGCATTCAAAAAGAAACTGGGCAGCCATTTATCCAGAATGATATAGGGTCTCCTGCCTGAGCCGGGGGGGTTGGACTAGATGACCTCCGAGGTCCCTTCCCACTCTGTTCTTCTATGATTCTGTAAGGGTCTCCTGCTTGACCAGGGGCCTGGACTAGAAGACCTGGAGGGTCCCTTCTAACCTTGTTATTCTATCATTCTGTTAAGGGTCTCCTGCTTGAGCAGGGGGTTGGACTAGATGACCTCCGAGGTTCCTTTCAACTCGATTCTATTCCATTTAGCAGGGCACCCCCTACTAACAAATGCAGTTTGCATTACCTGGATGCAGGAAAATCCCTAATCCTGTCTGTTCTTGGTTCCTGGTCTCCCTCAAAGGGTGACCCCCCCAACTTCCTAATATTATAGCCAGCCCAAAAATATTTCTCTTTTTAGTTTTCTAGAATGCCGGTTTGTTTAATTTGCCATTCAGAGTCACCTTGAAGGGCGAGAGGGAGGGCAAATAAATTTGATAATTAAATAAAATAAAACCACTTAAGATTTAATTTATAGCTGTATGGCTAGCTTAACAACTGCCGGGGTTCCCTTGACGTCTCAAATGTCTTAGCAACAGAAACGTTGGGCTGTGGTTGTGGTTGTGAGTCCAGGACTACTTGCTGAGACCACCTGGGCAGAACAAAGAGGAGAGGAAAAAAAAAAACAGAAAAAAACCCCTTCCTTTGGCTTGTCTGACTGGCTTTTCAAGAAATCTTACAGCTGCCTCGTTGTTGTCGTAACGAAAAAGTTCACGAAACTTTTCAGGAATGAAACGGTCCTGGAAAAATGGACAATATTCCCTGTTAGGATCTCTTCCGGATGTTCACCTCGCAAACTTCCAATCCTCGCCACTAAGTGTGATAAAAAAAAATATTTATTTACAAGTAGTCCTCAGTTGAGTAGCCTTAACTCTGTAGCTAAGTGAGGCATTTGTGAAGTGGGTTTTGCCCCATTTTACGACAAAGACATCGAGGTTTGTTCCTGGCTAGCTGGCCTGGCCTGCCACGCCTTTGCCAGACTCAGTTTTGCAAAGATCTGCATTTTTCCATCCCAGAGCTATTATCTCTGCGCCTTTCTTTCCGGCTTCCGTGGAAAACCCTCCGATGAAGCCCTGAAATGTTTTTTTGTTTTGTTTTTACAGGCATCGTTTTCTTGCAATAATTTCAGCCAGGAAAAAATAAATAAAATCTGTTCCGCCGATTTCCCAGTTTCCATTTCTCCCCAAAAGTTTGCGGTGTCTCTCCCACCAACTCTCTGTTTCTTTATGAAAGCATTTACAGTCAAATACGGGCGCTGGAACAGAAGACGATATCTGAGGCACGGCAATAAAAGAAGACCAGAGGGGGAGGGAAGAGGAAAAAAAAGAGCAAAAGAATCTTGGGGGAGGGGAGGGTTTGTGTGTGTGTGTGTGTGTGTGTGTGTGTAATCCCAGCTGGTTGTATCGTTGAGGGAGAAGTGTGATGCAAACAGGTTGACTAATTTGTGTGATGTGTCAAGGCTGAGTTGTGCAATGGAGATTTCGAATTGCTTGGAGATGGCGGAAGCCTAAAACCGTGTCGCCTTGGAAGGCAAATATTTGTGAATATTCCCCTCCTGGGTGGATCTAGAATAACTTCCGTGTACCTGTCAATCAATGAACCAAGTTAGGTGCAGCCTCACCCGGTTATAGCCCCCTGTTTTCTGGAAGGACTGTACCACTATGGGAAGTGAGCACAAGGGAAGCACGTCTCAAAGCCCTTTGCCCCCAGAAGGACGAGGAAAAATCCAGGAGGCGGGAAGAAGCAATGGGAAAAAGGGTTGAATATTTCTTTCCAGCACGAATGGGTGTCGGTAAGGAAGCGAGAGAAGGGAAAAAAATATATATGAAAGATTGCAATCAAAGCTCGGGAACGTAACACACTGGCTGATTGTCCTAATGTGTTACAATCGGGGCCTGCCAACCTTCGGCCGTTATTCACCGCTGGTGACAAGTAGCCGAAACGGAATTCTTTGTAGGGAATGTCGGAGATCCGGTTATGTATCTGGGTGTGTTTTTCCTGGGTTCAAAATGCACTTTAGAGGACATAAATTATATATATATATATCTGACATTTATGTATGTCCTGCCCTCTAGTGGTTCAACCTGGTATGGCCCCTTTAGGAAGGCATATATTAGATTTTTATTTTTTTTTAATGCCGATCTTGCAGTGAATACAGTCCAGGTAATCCCTTAACCACTTAAGAAATGTCTCACTGAGCAACAGAAATTCTGGGCTCCCTTGTGGTCGTAAAGTCGAGGACTACCTGTATTTAGAAAAGATTTACTGCTGGAAAAGATGCCCGATTTTTCCTTTAGCAGAAGAGTCTACATCTTGCGAGGTGTCCCATCAGACAGTGTGAAATAAAGAAACACAGCTACCTTGACTTAAGATGCATAAAGGTAAGATTTATAAACAGATCATAAACGAATCCAATAAAACCCAGCCAGGTTAGGTGTCTTAAAGGCCTGAGTGTCACTTCTCACCCTGCCCTGACAGGTAGAATCCTAGCTGTGCCGTGTTGCCCTGCTCATGCCCCAGACACAGAGGACTAGCAGCCTTATTTTTAAAAAAACCCAAAGCACCTTGGAGTCAGGGGTTCAGATGGGGCGCTCCTGAGCGATTCCTTTCCCCCAAGGCTAACTTTCCCTGTCCTGCTCATACGTGACTCCGTCGGACCGGCGCAGCTCTGCTCCTTTATGCACAAACAGAAATCTGCTTTAATTCTCGATTTTATTCAGATATTTTTTTTAAAAAAAGTAAAGGACGTTGCACAGCCTTCCCTGATTTTGGAATGATTTGGAGGATGAGGTTTGAAATCTCCCGGATGCTGTCACGGTCTCTTGGGGGCCTCGCCGCCGGGCGCGGAAGCCACGTGCTCATGGCAGGCCTGGGCCAGGCCTCCGATGAGGTTCAAGAACTCGGAAAAATCCACCTGCCCATCGCAGTTCATGTCCAGCTTCTTCATCATACGGTCAATGACGGCCGGATCTTTCTGGTTCTGCAAAGGGTTAAAAAAAAAAGATCACACGGAAGATCAGCTGGGCCTTTTTGGACCTCCTCCTCCAAAAATGGATTTCTTGAAAGATAAGGGAGACAAAAACTTCATAAAAAGCTTAGTAAGGCCACATCTGGAATCCTCCATCCAGTTTTGGTCATCACGTTACAAAAAAGAGGCTGAGATTTTGGAAAAAGTGCAGAGAAGGGCAACTAGGATGATAAAAGGCCTGGAGACTAAAATATAGGAAGAACGGTTGCAGGATTTGGGTATGGCCAGTCTAGAGAAAAAAAGGACTGGGGGGGGGGAACATGATAGCAGTATTCCAGTGTTTGAAGGGCTGCCCCAAAGAAGAAGGGGGGTCAACTTATTTTCCAAAGCACCAGAAGGCAGGACAAGAAACAACTGATGGAAACTAATCAAGGAAAGAAGCAACCTGGAATTAAGGAGAAACTTCCTAACAGTGAGAACAATCAACCAGTGGAACAGCTTTGCCTTCAGAGGTTGAGGGTGCTCCATCACTGGAGTTTTTAAAGAAGAGACTGGACAGCCATTTGCCTGAAAAGGTACAGGGTTTCTTGCTTGAGCACGGAGTTGGACTAGAAGATCTCCACGGTCCCTTCCAGCTCTGTTATTCTGTGATTCTATAATCCCAAATCAATTAACTAGTGGAAGTTGTGGGTGCTCCATCACTGGAGGTTTTTAAGACGAGATTGGACAGCCACTTGTCTGAAATGGAATAGGGTCTCCTGCTTGAGCAGGGGGTTGGACTAGAAGATCTCCACGGTCCCTTCCAGCTCTGTTATTCTGTGACTCTATAATCCCAAATCAATTAACCAGTGGAATGACTTGTCTCTGGAAATTGTGACTGCTCCATCATTGGAGGTTTTTAAGAAGAGATTGGACAATCATTTGTTCAGAAAGGTATACGCTCCCCTGCTTCAGCAGGGGGCTGGACTAGAAGACCTCCACGGTCCCTTCCAGCTGTGTTATTCTGTTATCTCAGGATTTTTTTTATTTACTTTGAAGTCGTTGATTGAACCTTTCCTTTGCCTGGTTTCCATAACAGTAGAATAAAAACACCAGCTAGCTCAGGGGTAGGCAACCTTGGCTCTTTTATGACTCGTGGACTTCAATTAAGAGCCAAGGTTGCCTACCCCTGAGCTAGCATTGGTGCCTAGCCGGGTTTGCAATTCTACATCCCACCACCAGGGGGGAGCCCACATCCACCGCGGATGCCTAAATTGAATTCTGTTTCCCAGGTAGATATCAAAGAGGCGCATAAACAATAAATCCCACCTTTGTGAAGGAGGCCAGCTCTGTGTCCATGAAGGTCCTGAATTCCTTCTTGGAGAGAGTCTTGGCGTTTGAATCCCTCCCGGCATAGCGCTGGAAGACCGCCAGCAGCGATTCGATGCAACGTTCGGTTTCGGTGGGGCCCGCGGTATACCTGGACGACTGCAGAAGTGAGAAAAAGGTGCATTTTTCAAGCCGCCCCTTTCGCTTCTGCACAGGTCGCAGTGATGCACTTCACGGAAAGAAGCCTAGAACAGTAATTTTTTTAACCTTGGCCTTTGGAAGACTGGCTGGGGAATTCTGGGAGTTGAAGTCCACCCACCTTCCAGCGGCCAAGGTTGAGAAACAGCGGCCTGGAACATGGATTAATTTCAGAGCTAATTACGTTTGGATTAATTTCAGAGCTAATTCAGTTTGCCTGCCTCCTGCCGCAGTTGCTTTTAAGTTTTAAAGAGGGTCTTTCAAATAAATTCCCCCCCCCATCCCCAGGTGAGGAAATTCAGGATAAGCTCAGGAGAGGAGAGGCACTCCCATTAATATCCCAACAGCCAATTCAGCGAGGGCACTCTGCCCATGCCCAGAGGCTGTTCTTTCATTTGCAGATCAAAACTTGCTCGTTGCCCTCTAGTGGCATTTTCTGGAACTTAGTTTTTGCTTGGAAAGACAAAACCGTCCAATAGGAAAGACGTCAATTCTTGGCTCAAGAAAAAACTCTGTTTTTTTAAAAAAAAAAATAGATATAACACATTTGGCAACGGGTGCACACATACACACACAAGTTGGCAACTTTGGAGGAGACACACTCCTATTTGAGCAGGGGGTTGGACTAGACGACCTCCAGGGTCCCTTCCGACTCTGTTATTCTGTTAGCACACACAAAATTACAACAAACTCATGTTGGATTAGCAGATGGTAGATTGGCTCCCATCCAGGTTTTAACCTGGTCAAGTTTCAGCATAGGGTGGAAACAGCCCAAATACGTTTTCTTTTTTTTAAAAAAATACTAATGAATCATGTCCAGAGTAGTTCACCAATATATTTACCTGCAAAAAACCATTTTGTAACTCAAGATTTGGGACGTCTTGGTGTAACTCTGTTAGTTCTGTCCTGCTTCTGCCCCAGTAAGCCTTATATCCTACATCTAACAAGCTGACTTTGCAAAAAAATCAGCCAAGATATTTTGAAATCTTTTTACTGATGATAATTTCCAAACGAACCACTCCCCAAAGTGCAGTGGATTGCATCTTTTGCAATCCACACTTAGCAAGCAGAAAATAAACTTTTAGAGACCTGGAGTGGGTGGGGGTCTCTAAGGGTCCCTAGGCAGAAATCCGTCAAGGGTCTTATGGGAAGGCAACTCAGCTGGGAGACTCCCCATCTGTCTAATCCCAACCCGTCCCACAGCTCAAACTGAAGAGCTGTTTTTCTCCTTGGCGGTGCTTGTAGGCCTCCAACCCTCGTGCGGCAGGCCGAAATCCAACCGGTAAGGATTTGCCTTCTGCCTAAGCCTTCCCCTGTGGAACTTTACTCTCCCCCCCCCCCCGAGCTTTTTGCAGAAGGAACCTTGAGCCATTTTGAGGAATGAGAGAAAAGATTGTCCACCGGCACAGCCACACCCTTTCCGTGGCCAACCCGGCAACAAAAACGGAAACCACAACCCAAAGCGGCAAAGATTTGACCGCTCGCTACGCTTTGCTCTTTTGAGCAAAGCAGCCAAGGCAAAAAGACCCCCAATTTTTCTATCCCCAGGAAAAAGAAAAGAAAGAAAGACATATTCTGGTGAAAACCCCTGACCACGTTTTGGACTGAGATAAAGAGAGAAAGAGAGAAAGAGAAAGAGAGAGAGAGAGAGGGGGGGGGGAGGCTGATGACGGTGGACTCTTCTCAGCTCTCCGGGCTGATGATGGAGACCCCTCCCCAACGTCTTGGCAAGCCCAGCACTCCACCTCCCATCATCCCCACCCACTTGGGGATCTGTGCAGCAGGGGAACTGGAATCCCCCATCCAGGATGAAAAGTCTGGAACTGTCCAAAGGGAGAATGAAGTTGGATCCGGTCAACTTTTGGGGGGTCATTCCAGCTGCTGTCCATTTCTCCTTCTTCCCACGGTGTCCTTCCCCCCCCTCTTTTCCAGCCAGTTTTCCCTGGCTCTGTTTTTTTTCCCTCCCTCCCCCCATTGCAAATGGAGAAGGAAACCCCCCCCCGCCGCCTCTTTCTGGCTCGGCATGCTTCAGAGGCATCCTCCGGGGCCAGGGTGCGCTTACCATAACTGTGGTCGGCAACTGGCCGGGCAGAGTGGAAAAGTTGGCTGTTGCTGGTGAGCTGGTTGGGGACCGGAGTGGTGAAAGCCCCTCCCCGGCTGAGCCAACGCCTGTCTCTTCCCCCGCCTGTCTTCCCGTTGAGCAATTTTGGCTACACACACACACACACACACTCAGGCGAACAAGGCGCCCGCCCCACCTTATTTCATTCACTCTGGAATGTGCTCAAAGGGAAGTTGGTTTTTCATCTTCTCTGTTTAACTCACTCAGGCCCGTTCTCTCTTTCTGAGTTTTGCAGAAATCACCAGCAAGCAGGCGGGGAACCAACTGGTTGAGCTTTTCCCAGCTGCTCAGAATCAGCTGGCTGTCAGCTTTGAAGGCTTTCCAGCTGGTAATAGAAATAGAAATAGAAATTAGAAGAATAGAATAGAATAGAATAGAATAGAATAGAATAGAATAGAATAGAATAGAATAGAGTAGAATAGAAAAAAGAATAGAATAGAATAGAATAGAATAGAATAGAATAGAATAGAACAGAGTAGAGTAGAGTAGAGTAGAGTAGAATAGAAAAAAGAATAGAATAGAATAGAATAGAATTTGTAAAAGAGGTGGGGAGAAACAGACTTGAGTATTTCCAGAATTCAGTTTTCGGCATTCACACAAACCGAAGCAAACGCAACCGGCTTTATGATCAAGTTTCTTTCCCAAATTTCCTACTCCATACAGTGCTGGAAAAATAACCGGAAACCAGTTTTCTGCAGAGCTTTAATTTTCCGTTGTGCAAAGGGGCCACAGAGGAGTGAGTCACTCACAAGCCCAACCTCCTCTGAGTAAACTCTGAGAAAAAGTACAGGGAAAAAAAAAAAAAAAAGCTGGAGACAGACAATTTTTTTCCGTTGCTTTGTGCCAAGGGGTGGGCGCTAACTTTGCCACATGCCGCCTGCCAACTATCACGTCTTCTTCTCTTCTAGAACACACCTAGAGGCTTTCCCCAGAACCATGAGGACTAGAGCCTTGGCGTTTCTAAAAACAGACATCCCCCCCCCAAAAAAAATCTTTTAAAATCTTTTTTTATTATTTCATCTTTTTAATATTGCAAACCGACCAGAGTTACCTTGTGGTAAGATGGGCAGTCAATATATTTAATAAATAAATATATATAACAATTTATTTATTTTTTTTAGAAAAGAGAGATTTCTTTTAAGAGGAATTTTTTTCTGAAGATAAGCTGACTTCTTTCCGCTCGCTTGCAAACTGGAAAAAGTCCAGCGGAGATTTTAATTTTTTTTTTTTTAAAAAGAATTGCATGGTTGGGTGCTAACAAAAAGCTCTGGATTAAGTGTTCCCTAGCAACCAAAAGGATGGGGTGGGGGGGTTAAACATAGCCTGTAGCAATTGTGTAGAGGAACACAATTGCAGTGCTGTGTGAAAGACGCAACCTCCCAGTTGCATTCTTGCGGTTCTGTTTCAACTTTCCTTATTGCAAGCTCCAACTTGAACTGAATTATTTTTTTTTATAGAAAGCTCTCATCCGTTCTTGAACCAGCATTTCCCCAGATATTTAACCCTCTCCAACCCTGGCTGCTTTCTGCGCTCTGCCCCTCCCCCTGGTGGCCAGCAGAGGAATCACCCCACTTTAAACAAAAAAAAACAACAAAAAAACAAATAAGTAAGGAAACACCGCTAACCCCAGCGGACGAAAGAAAGGGAAGGAAGAGGAAGAATTGATGGATTCAATCAGAAGGAATTTATTGATAGTAGAAGAAAGATGCCTACGGACACCAAGGGGTTGGGGGTCTTCCTCCACCGAGACCCTCATTTGCTTCTTGATCACTCGAGGTAGAATTTGGGGTACCCTTTTCTCATCTTGTAACCTCCTGGGGAGTTTGGAAGGCGTTTCAGATTCACAGAAGAGCAAAAGGGCTGATTAGAGGAGCTGATTGGAAGACCCATTTCCTTTTTCTCACCTAGGTTTACATTTCCATGGATACGTCCACAAGGGAAGGGATCAGTTACCCATAATAGCCTTTGCTGCGTATCGCCGTGGACCGAAAGGGCTGATTAATTGATTAGAGCTGATTAACTGATTAGAATAAAACTCGACAGGATCAAAGAACACCTGCAGGAAGACGTGGAAGCATAGAGTACTTCAAGCGGGCATCTTCATCCCAACTTCTAGGGCTGCTCCTGCTTCTTCTGGGCCAACAGATACTCATACAGCGGGTTACAAATCACGCACGGTTTGCTCTCCACCAGAGAAGTGCTTGGCTTCTCCGGGAAGGCTTGTTGGGCATCGTCCTCCAAAGGTGGCTGAGATTCCTGGGCCCATGAGCCACTTCCATCATCTTCCTCCACTTCCTCTGTTTCAGGTTGAGGAGCTTCTCCTTCACGGTGGACTTGCTGCTGGTCAAGAGCAGCAGGTCCCTCAGCTTTGTCTCCCTCTCCAGCCAGAGATAATTCAGACTGACCTTCAGCTTGGATCTCAGGGACCTGTCGCTCACTTGGTTGGGAGAGAGCTCTGTTGCTTACAGGTGAACCGGCCTTTCGTTGGGTTTGGTTGACTCCAACTTCTTCTTCTCGGGCCTCAGTTTGATGGTGTGGTAGCCACCTTCTTTGGGGACCTCTCAGTTCTGGTCCAGACAAACGTTGGCTCTCTCTTGTGGCCTGCTGCTGCTGGGGTGTGTGTGGACTCACCAGGCTTTCTTCTGCCTTAGATTGTCCAGGCTTCCTTGATGGTTGAGATTCACCACTCTCTGGTGGCCGTTGGTCCCTCAGCAGATCAAATTCACGGTCAGCTGTTTGGTTGGAAAGAGAGGCGGCTTCACGGGGCTGAAAGCTGTTCCCCATGTTATGTTGGGTTACTTCAGTACCCCTGAAATTAGGGACAGAGGACTGCACTCTTCTCTGTTGCTCACCATCCCTTGGGTCAACTTCATATGGGTTGGTGGGTTTCTGATCATCTTCTGCTAGGTCAGTTTGTGTGGGGGTCCACCTGTGGTAAACAGAATCATGTGATGGCATTCTCTTGGGTCGTTGATCATCTTTAGGGTCAACCTCATATGTTGGGGTTCTCCTCTGGTTGATCTGTCTTGTACCAGAGTCATAGGAAGAAGTTCTTCTTTGGTCTTCACCTTCTCTTGAGCTAGCCTCATAAGTTTGGGTCTGCCTCTGATCAATGTTTTCACCCTCAGAATCACGTATGGAGGTTCTTCTCTGGTGCTCACTCTCTCTGTGGTCAACACCACGGAACTGGTCAACATCTCTAATCTCAACATTGGTTCTCCTTTGCCCTTCACCTTCTCTTTGAGCGATATCAATTGCCCAGATTTGTCTCTGGCCACTGCTTAGTCTACTATACCGTTGTCCCCTCCCTTCTCTTTGTAGAGTATGTCTGGACTCAAATATCTGTTGTCCAGTCTGGTCATAGTCTTCTGAACTATCAGATGAAGAAAATCTATCAGGTTGTGTTGGTCTGGCGACTGCTTCTCTTGACTGCAGTTGTTCCCTTTCATCAACTCGTGAGTCAACCAGCTGATGCTTTCTCATCTCCCTCTCTCTGGGCTCTGAGTAACGTAACTGAGGCCTTCTCCCGTCTCTTTCGTTCTCCCAAGATTCATGTTCATAATACTGTTGCCTCTCCTGGTTGTCTTCTCTCTCAGGTGATTGACGAGGCTGGATCCTTCTCCTTCTTGCAACATCCCTTTCTAGGGAGTGAACTTCATAATCACGGGGTCTTCTCTGATCATCTCTCCTTGGCTCTTCATATCTTTGAGATCGGATGTACCTGATGTCCCTGGCCAGAGGTTCAAGGGACTGGGATCTCCTCCTCCTAACTTCCATTACTCTGGTTTCCTCCCGGCTGAACTCCCGCCTTCTCCGCTCTAGGTCCTCAGGACGTTGGGACCTTCTGACCTCTCCTCTGCCTTCAGACTCACGAGATTGGGAAGATTCATGTTCATAATACCGTTGCCTCTCCTGGTGGTCTTCTCTCTCGGGTGATTGATGAGGCTGGAGCCTTCTCCTTCTTGCAACATCCTTTTCTAGGGCGTGAACTTCATAATCACGGGGTCTTCTCTGATCATCTCTCCTCAGTTCTTCGTAACTTTGAGAGCGCTCATACTTGGGGTCTCTGGCTTCAGGTTCTTGGGATTGGGGTCTCCTTCTTCCACTCTCTGTTGCACGGGTTTCCTCCCGGCTGAACTCCTGCTCATCATCTTCAGGATGTTGGGACCTTCTGACCTCTTCAGACTCACGAGATTGGGAAGGTCTGTCCATGTTCTCAAACTCAGAAGAATAGGGCCTCCTGCTCTCTCGCTCCCTGCGTTCCAGACCTTCCACTTCTGGTCTCCTTGAAGCTTCACGTGGTCGTGGTCTGTTCCACTCATCTTCAACACGTCTCCTTTCAGATCTTCTGACTTCTTCCTCTTCTGCCTGGATTGCTCTATGAACATCTTCTCTCGATTGAAAGACATAGCGTTCTTGTCTCCTCCTTCTCTCACCCTCCCTCTGGTCAGCTTCAGGGGACTGCGATCTTCTTTCTCCTACTCTGGACAATGAGCGACGCTTCACAAAATCATCTACTGGGCTTCGGTGACGAATCTGATCTCGGCGCTCATCAGCCCTACGGGGTTCAAAGGCACGAGACCTCCGCTCATTGTGCGCTTCCAGGTCCCTCCTTCCATCTTCGCGTTCTCGCCGTTCATGAGATGGCCGGCTTCTTTCAACATCGTATTCTGCATGATCCACTCGTGCTTGAGAACCACATCTGAAGAGTCTTCCCTTAGTCTCTTGGCCACGGCGTTGCCTCACTTCTTCCCTCCTGGATACGACTATTGGAGAATACAGGTCTTCTTCATCCAAGGGGTCATGAGCTTCATGTCTGTTGATGTCATTTCTTCTCACGAGTTCTTGGGGCTGGCGTGGAGAGACATCTTCTAGGGCTGATTCCCGTTGTCTCAGTTGACGAGGTTTTGGTATCTCAATATCTTCCTGCCTTTGTGAGTCAAGATAACGTCCTTCAGGATCCCTTTCCTGATGTTCCCAAGATAGATAGTCTCTCCTATGACCATCCCTCAACTCACGATCATGTTCTTCATAGTTGTGGTCTTCTTCTTCTTCTTCTTCTTCATCTTCTTCTTCTACAGGTCCAATGGGAAGGTAGCGTCCCAGCAGCTCCCTCCGTCTTCCTTCCTCCGTGGAACATAGGGAAGTCCCATCCAAATCTCGTCTCTCAGGGACATAGTCTCCTCTCCTTTCCCCATCCTGAAGCTGCCGATGTTCTCTTTTGGACCCTCCTGATTCTCCCTCATGTAGGGCTCTGCTACTTTCATCCCGAAGAAGATACTCTCTGGGCTGCAGGTACCTGTAACAGCCTTTGGCGATTTGGAAGACAAAAATCAGGTACTCGTTGAAGTCCACCAAGCTGTCTCCATTGACGTCCAGCAGCTTGAAAGTGAGCTCAATCATCTGAGGGTCGCAAGGATTCTGGAAGGGAAGAGAAATCAAAAAGAAAGAGGGTTAGTTTGGTCATTCCAGTCACCACTAGCACCTCAACAGTTTTCACTCTTAAGTTGATCATTTTTGGTTTTTTAAGTGGAATGACATCCAAATATAGGTTGTCCCATTAGGAGTGCCGAGTGGTTGGCTGACCCAACTGCTCCCTGGAAGCAACTGGAAATGAGCCATGTCATCCTTTCAACCCCAAATTTGGTCTTTGCGCAGCCTAGATGTATCCCCTGATTTTTACCCCATTTCTGTGTTGTAGCTCAGGGTGTTTCTAGGCTCGTGGACGGGACCCTAGAGGTTCTCTAGTCCACTTCCTGGCTCCTAGAATAGGCTCCACCAGACCATCTCTGACAGGTGTCCATCAAGCCCGGGTTGACCTTCTCCACTGAAGGAGCCCCATGTAAGGATTCACTTTGGACAGTGCAGGATCTAGCCAGAACATGGATGAATGCTGCAATCAGGACATGGCTCCGAGACCGCCTTCTGCCTCCGATTACCTCTCATCGGCCGATACGCTCCCACAGAGAGGGTCTCCTCAGGGTGCCGTCAGCCAGACAGTGCCGGCTGGCGACCCCCAGGGGGAGGGCCTTCTCTGTTGGAGCTCCCACCCTTTGGAACGAGCTGCCCCCAGAGATCCGGGTGATTCCGGATCTCCCCTCCTTCCGCCGCGCCCTCAAGACATGGCTATTCAAGTTAGCAGGACTGGTCTAAGGGTTATTTTAATTTGGTTTTAAAATAATTTAAAATGAATTTTCGGTTCTAGAGTAATGTCTCATTTTAATTGGCATGTTGAGTTTGGCATTTTTGTATTTGTGTATTTGTTTTTGAATGGTTGTAAGCCGCCCTGAGTCCGCAGGGAGAAGGGCGGGGTAGAAATATAATTAATAAATAAATAATAAATAAATAAATGAAGGCTCCTGAAAATTCATCACGGTGGGCATTGCTCAGTCTAGTCCCTCATCCCCACAGTTGGCGCTCACCTCCAAGACTTCACCAAACTCTTTCTGGATAAGCGTCTTCATTTCTCTCCGGTTCAGAGCGAGGTTGCCATCCTGGCATCGGGCATACTTGTGAAAGATTCCCACAATGGTGCAGACACTGTCCAGAAAGTAGCTCATCCTGAAGTCCTTTTCTGAAAAGACAGGAAAAGGGACAATGAAGAAGGGTTTCTATTTTTCTAGGGTGGCCCCAAAGAGAATTCTGAGAGTTGAAATCCACAAGTCATAAAGTGGCCAAGGTTGGGGACCTCTGCTCTAAGGGGTTGCTCAGCCTCCAAGTTGTCCCCTCTCCTAATGTCCCCCCCACCCCAATTTTTCAACTCACCCAGCTCAGCAGAATTAGGTGAGCAGCCTCAGAGACAAAAGTGTGGGAATGCCAGCAAGCTGAACCCCCTTTTATAGGTTGGCTAATTGTAACATGCAAGGTGACACCCTCTTCAGAGGATGACCTGATTCATCTTCAGCCCGACTTGTTCCACCTTTGTGTCTTCTGAACAAATTGCTCGGCGACTTGTATTTCCACCTTTGAGTTGTCACGTTCCTCAAAATGGAAAAAAAAGAGAGTCCAAAATAGCATTTGCTGTCTTTCTGCAATTTTAAAAGAGGGAGGGGGGGGGGAAACGTGCCTTCCATAGCTTGTGGGATGATCTTCAACATCTCCCAGCTTCTGAGGTGTCCACGTCTGGTTTTTATCTGGACATCGTACAATGTAAAGGCTGGAAGAGATGAATTCCACAGCACGTGGAGATTTCTTAATTTGCCTGAAGTTCAAAAACTAAGGTTGGTTTCCAGAAGTAAGGATGTTTAAGCCTTGGCAGGAGGACTTGAGATCTCGTGACACCATCAGGAGTTATGGTTTGATCGGGCGCAGATTTCCACGGATTAAGGTCCAGATGGGATCCATCAACGGCTTTTATCTCTATCCATCTTTCCTCCAGGTTGGGAAGCAATCTACCCCATAATGATAGAACTTGTAGACCAAGAATGGGAGAGGTTCAAATCTCTGTCATCACCCAGCAGGAGAACCTCAAAGAAACTTCTGTCACCAATGGAGGGAGTCAAACAAATGGCCTTGGTGAAGGACCGTTTTCTCTTCCCAGGCTTCACCTTTTATACCTTTTCTTATTTTCCTTGCAAAGAAAATGTGCAAGGAGAAGCAGAACCAGGGTTTTTTTTTGGGGGGGGGGGTTGCGTGTTCTCCAGGACCCCAAGCTTATGTGATTGTCCTCTCCCTTTCCAATTGTGTTGGCTTTTTTGGCAGCTGCAGCACACTGCTCAGGGGTGTAATATGACCTCCGCAGATGGATCCCCAAAAGAAGGGGACCTTTGTTTTTGGAGGGCTGAGAAGTTCTCAAGAACTTTGAGCCAGCCTTGGTTTGCCCAAACCACCAACGTTTTGAGCAAGGCGGGTCAACCCTGACTATCTTCAGAAATATTCCTTTTGTTCTGTTCTTTCAAAGTTCTCTGGTCCTTAGCCCTACACCATTTATCACTTTATTTTAAGGGTCCCTGCCTTGTTTGTTCAGCCCGTCGCGGCCACCTCCTTGTTATTTTTTCATTCCCTGCAGAAAAGGATGTGAGTAATTTTTGTCCTGTAGCCACTTGTTGGAGTGGCTGGGCTAATTACGCCTTGGATAATGATACCTTAACTCCTCTCTCATGGTTAAATTTAAATGGGTGTCTTCTCAAAGCGGAGAAGGCAACGTCTCAGGTGGGCTGCAAGTTCCGGCTTTTAAATAAAACTCTTGGGCCCCAAAGGGACCTGGTTTGATGATGCTCGTGAGAAGGTAGAGACCTTCTGATCCTTCTTCTTGCTGAATTCAGTGGTGTCAGCTTCTTTGTAAGAAGTCAAAAGGAAACTCTCTCTTCCTTCAGTTGTTTCTCCAACCCGCAGCACACCCAGCCTTGTATTCAACAGCATCACCCGTATGAGCACAGTAGGGTCTAAGTTGTGATTTCAGGAAAGTATTTGGATGAAAAAGCAGGCTGTGACTCGGTGCCGACACAACGTGGTCATCTGGTGTCCTTCCAAGGTTTTAAGAGCTTCCCCCCCCCCAAAAAAGCTTCAAGGCATGGCTAAGTGTGGATGATGGATCTTGTCAAGAGGCCAACAGTTGGTTGAACTTTTGACTTGCAGGATTTTTAGAATAGAATAGAAGAACAGAGTTGGAAGGGACCTTGGAGGTCTTCTAGTCCAACCCCCTGCTCAGGCAGGAAACCCTATACCACTTTGGACAAATGGTTGTCCAATCTCTTCTTAAAAATTTCCAGTGTTGGAGCATTCACCGCTTCTGGAGGCAGGTTGTTCCACTGGTTAATTGTTCTAACTGTCAGGAAATTTCTCCTTAATTCCAGGTTGCTTCTCTCCTTGATGAGTTTCCATCCGTTGCTTCTTGTCCTGCCTTCAGGCGCTTTGGAGAAGAGCTTGACTCCCTCTTCTTTGGGGCAGCCCCTGAGATACTGGAAGACTGCTATCATGTCCCCCCTCGTCCTTCTCCTCATTAAACTAGGCATACCCAATTCCAGCAACCGTTCCTTGTATGTTTTAGCCTCCAGTCCCCTGATCGTGTTTGTTGCTCCTCTCTGCACTCTTTCTAGAGTCTCAACCTCTTTTTTACATTGTGGAAACTAACCAAGGAGAGAAGCAACCTGGAACTAAGGAGAAACTTCCTGACAGTAGGAACAATTAACCAGTGGAACAACCTGCCTCCAGAAGTTGTGGATGCTCCAACACTGGAAGTTTTTAAGAAGAGACTGGACAGCCATTTGTCTGAAATGGTATAGGGACTCCTGCCTGGGCAGCGGGTTGGACTAGATGACCTCCAAGATCACTTCCAACATGATGATGATGATGATGATGATGATGAAGATGATGATGATGTCTGGCCCCAAATGTTAGAGGGTGGAAATATTACCACTTTTTCTTCCCCACCTAGCAAAACCCTTTCAAACAGGAGCATCCCTCATGGCTGGTCTCCATGATCTTCCCTTCTGAGAGAAGCTGCTTCTGAACCACACTAGGGAATTGACCGTCATCACGAATTTCTCCAGAATGCCTGGATCTTTTGGAAAAACGGAATTTCAACGCACGACACACGTGGTGCTTCTCCAGACCTCTGAGCTTCCGCGCCTGGGGCCTTCCCTGGATCTCCTCCTTCCCTTGTTCAGAACGGTAAATACGTGAGGTGCTCCAGTCCTCCCCCTCTCGAGGTCTAAAATGGGTATTATTATTATTATTATTATTAGCCCAAGGGTGTGGGCTGTTCATTTGCTCAAGGTATTACTTATCTTGACGATTGGTTTTAAAAAAAATGTATCTCCCCACCTTTTGAAAAGCAGGAATGATTAGTCAAAGATTGCAGAATGTGGGGGTGCTACAAAAGTCGTACGTGCGAGGACCAGTTGCATTTTTCAGCACCGTTGTAACTTCAGACAGTCACTAAATGAACGGTTATAAGTCAGCTGTCACAGACTAGAGTTGAAAGGGACCCAGGAGGTCTTCTAGTCCAACCCCCTGCTCAGAATACAGAATAAGAGAGTTGAAAGGGACCCAGGAGGTCTTCTAGTCCAACCCCCTGCTCAGAATACAGAATAAGAGAGTTGAAAGGGACCCAGGAGGTCTTCTAGTCCAACCCCCTGCTCAGAATACAGAATAGGAGAGCTGGAAGGGACCCTGGAGGTCTTCTAGTCCAACCCCCTGCTCAGAATACAGAATAAGAGAGCTGGAAGGGACCCTGGAGGTCTTCTAGTCCAGCCCCCCTGCTCAGAATACAGAATAGGAGAGCTGGAAGGGACCCTGGAGGTCTTCTAGTCCAGCCCCCCTGCTCAGAATACAGAATAGGAGAGCTGGAAGGGACCCTGGAGGTCTTCTAGTCCAACCCCCTGCTCAGAATACAGAATAGGAGAGCTGGAAGGGACCCTGGAGGTCTTCTAATCCAGCCCCCTGCTCAGAATACAGAATAGGAGAGCTGGAAGGGACCCTGGAGGTCTTCTAGTCCAGCCCCCTGCTCAAGCAGGAGACCCTATACCACTTCAGACAAACTGCTGTCCAGTCTCTCCTTAAAACCCCCCTTCTCATTAACCGGTAAGGGTGCCTCTCCCACCCACGTAATATTTAATCGGATATCTAACCAAGGAAGATAGAATTCCGGTTGTTCCCTGTTATTTTGGTGTGTTTATTTTAAAAAAAAGGCAGCTCTAAGGGGGTAAGTTGAAATACGAGGATTAACAACCTGCTTGAAAGAGGTGAGGTGTTGCAAGATTGGCTGGGCTGGACATAAATTTATCTATCATCCAAGCAGGGTGTCAGCATCTTAAGGAATATATAAAAAGGAACCGGACAGCAGCGATTCTCCCACACTTCACTGAAGGCTTCCCACTGTTGAGTGTACTGAGCTGGGTGAGTTGCAACCGAGTTCTCTCTATTACGCTGGGGGAAAAAAAAAATTTAAACTTGGGAGTTTGCTGAGAAATTCAGAAAGAGCCAGATCAGGCTGGAAAGAGGAGAAACCGGGGTGGTGAAAAGGATCAAGGACTCCTATTTGGGGGCAACGAAGCTTAGAAAAGGCAGGGAGGATGGAGAGTTTGCGTAGCCCGGGACTCCAATAGAGGTGCACATTTTCTCTCCCTGGTTTCTGCAGGCAAAGTCTCCAACATGGCTGGTCTCGTGGACAGTATCTGCACCATCATCGCGGTCTTTCAGAAGTACGCCGACAGGAACAGGGACGGTTCCTCCATGAAGCGAAGGCAGATGAAAAGACTCCTCCAAAACGAATTTGGTGAAATTCTAGAGGTAAGGAAGTTTTAGCCAAAACGTGGAAGGCTAGTTTGGGATCTTTAGAGGTTGGGTGACATTGGAAAGAGTTGTCTGGTCTCAAAGTTGACACGCCCCCTTTTTTGTTGTTGATTTCTGCTTTTCCAGAACCCTCGTGACCCTCAAATTGTCAAGCTGACCTTCCAACTGCTGGACCTGAATGGAGATAATCTCGTCGACTTCAATGAGTTCCTGTTCCTCATCTTTGAAGTGGCCACCGCTTGCTACAGTGTCTTGCATCCCCAGGAGTGTCTTTCATACAACGAGGAAAGGAGCAGAGCTGTGCGTAACGAGGAACCACGTAGGA